GACATACTTACCGGGCTGCAAATCTGCTGCTGGAGCGATATCCACAGCAAATATGGTGTGCCTGTAGCGACTTGGTCATGTAGGTAGCTTGGGTTGAAACTGAGGAGTGAAAGCAAAAAGACATTCTTACCAAATACACCAAGGCACTTCAAAGGAGTCAGCATCTTTTGGCCATCCTCCACAGCCCAAAATGGCCCATCACCAGTGTAGGGTACTTTGAGGCCAATGGAGCGAAACGCATCCACTAGGCACACTTCCGTGAAGCGTCTTTGCACCAAAGGCTTGCTGGTAGTAGCGCATGGTCCTCAAGAAGGTTGCAGCAAAGGCACCAAGCAGAACTGCATGTAACATGTGGGTGGGTTTCTGCTTTTTCATTCTAAAAAACCGATGCGCCTGGGGGTGGTGAAGAAAAAGAAAGGGCATCTGGCATAGTCATCTTCTCCCTTTCTGCTTGGACTATGCACTCGTATTCCTGACGACTACACGCGCCACACACTCACAGATTCCTCAAGACTACCCTTTTCATGACCTATATCTTGTCATGTAAGCTTGCACTGACGACCCTGCCTCGAAGAGCTTTTCAAAAGCTAGTTCCCGCCTTCGGAGAATGCGTTGATGCCTGCCAATTGCGTTGGTGTAGACGTTCTCCCAGTAGCGCTCCTCGTACCGTCGCCGCTTCTGGCGCTTGGACAATGGTGGCCTGGGATATCAAACTTCACATATGGTCATTTAGTTTCTCTCGGCCAAGATACCGTTGACCAACTTCACAGGTCAAGCGGTTGACAATCGTCTTCATAAAGTAATCACCTTAAATAAGAATGTGGGCGGCTCACAGAAAGTGTTAAGCCACCACTGCAATTTGAATTGGACCCAGATACTCCACATAGCAGCATTCTTTTGGAAGTCAGCTGTTTGTGGAACTGGCGTCATGAGAGTGAATCGGGAAAGCACCAGGTATCTGCTGGTTACAAAGGCTAAGGACACACAGCAAGCAAGAAACTGGAGAAGGATGTAGTTACGCCCGCCTTGGCATGTTATACCTTCATCAGTTCCGGGCCTTGGCCGCAATGCAGCAAGCTCGACAAAATCACAAATCGTTGAGCATTATAAAAACCTTAGGCTGCAGCCGACCAGTATCATTTCTTGACTGCGCTGGAGCCTCGGGTCGACAGCAGCAGTATGTGAACAAGGCGAACAAAGCTGCCGCTTGCTTTTCAGCCTCTGCATGTGGTTCATGTAGTGGAGCCGCTCGCTGCCCCCTTACAAGAATTTTAATTCAATTGCAAATCTCAACAGCTATATGTCCAAGCCTGAATCGGAAGTACCACTGCTTCCGCGAAATTCTTTTCCAGTTGGGAAGCTCCAGCCCCACTGGAAATGAAGTCGTGCTGCGACACCGCCTCGCAATCTTCCACGCAAGGGCATCACCTGCAGGCTACCATGTGCATCTACGGTATCGACATGAGACACCTGTGGCATGTGAGCGTACTACCTTGTATTTCACAAGCGAGTCACACCACAATGGGCAAGAAATCAGCTTCACATTTGACTCCTTGACTTTGCACCCACCAGTGGCAACTTGCTTCAATCCAAATCCAGAATTGCGCCCTTGGCAGGTATCATTGCAAACTCACGCAAATTCAAACCAATTCCGCTGTTTTCCGGCCAAGGCACATTGAATGGTTTCATAGCAACCGGCATGGCATACGTGAGTAAGACGACGGATGATTCCCTGCATAAAGTAGTCGCCTTGTTCACTCGCAGTGGGCAAATCAACTATGCTTTAGATATTGCACACTGAAAAGGCAAGGCAAGGAGCAGTTGGAGCGTGTTGCCAAATCTGCTTGGTCGCAACAGCGCCCGATGATAGACGCCATGAAACAATCGCCTTGTATAAAAAATCTGTGTTGACATGCGCTAGGTTGGTGCTAGGATGTGATCACCAAGTGCTTCAAGACACACCATCCTCCATCATATTCTTCCAGGTATCCCCGAGATACAAAAGGCCAAAGCAATCCTGCGCAAGCCATTCTGCAGCTTCACATCTTTTATTCCTCGAAACCATGTAAACTTCTCCTGGCTTCGACCACCCAGAATCAGTGTCAGTGAAAGGGCCTGTCGCAACAAAATCGGGTTGGCAAATTCGTTCCTTTTCATTGATAATGCGAAATCAAAGGCCTGAAGGCATAGCAAAATCATCAGACCACTTACAACCTGTGCAACATGTTTGTGCTTCAGTGCAGTACAAAAAGTTAGAACAATTTTAAACTAAATGCCAATTCTGTCGGCGCACACCATACTCCATTATATTCGTCCAGATCCAGGCGAAACAGAGAAGGCAAGAGCAGTCCTAGGCAAGAATCAATGTACAGCATCACCCGTATAGTTTAAATGCGTTGCACTTCGCCTTGCCGCAGCCAATCGCAATCAACATCAGTGAAAGGGCCTGCCACAGCAAAGTGAAAGTCAACTTGTTAGATATGCTCCGTCGCTTGATACATGGCAAAACCCCAGGCCGGGCCTGAAAGCGAACCAAAATCATCGGACCTCTTACAACCTGTCCAGTGTCCAGCCGATGCACTTACAGTGGCAGATTTCAGACCTATCGGGTGAAGATCACTGCTAACAAGAAGCACTGACAGCTGAACCAGTTCACGAAGAAGCGGCCAAGAGCAATTTCGCCCGAACTGTGAGCGCGTTCACCAATAGGGTCAAAGATTGAGGCCACACCTTAGGAGGATGCGCAAAGAGCAAGGCAATTTTGTATGTCATACATACTTAAAAAGATATTTTTAGCCAAGTCTCTCGTCTTGCATGATGAACCGTTCAAACACCCTTCCGCCATGGGCCCCACGCGATGCAAAACGAGCAAATGACCAGATCGAGCGGGCAAACGAGCCAGAATGCGCTGCACGAGACATATTAATAGTTAAGTTCAACCCGTGCGCTTTAATTACAGTGTCACTAAGGCCCTGCTCGAATCAGCCTTCACTGCTTACATATTTGCATGCTGTTTAAAGTCCAGCATTTACATCATCAGTGTTCCGGAGTTTGGCGATTGCATACTTCTAGAATCCAATGATTTTCGACTTGCATCTCATATAGATGAAATAGAGCCATCGCCTGACCCAATTGTCCACCGCGCTCGTCTAGCCATGTGCGCTTCTTTTTCTACGTGACAGAGTTATGGTTTAGCAGCTCCTCATCATACCTGGCGCTCCACTACCCGATTGCTCCGCCCCCACGCACTCCGTTGCCCACACTCTCCGCTCACCACACCTCCGCTCCCCACATGCTCCGCTCCCCACATGCTCCGCTCCCCACACGCTCCGCTCCCACGCGCTCCGCTCCCACGCGCTCCGCTCCCACGCGCTCCGCTCCCCACGCGCTCCGCTCCCCACACGCTCCCTTGCATCCTGGCTCCTTAGGCGTGGGCATTCTCTCTACCTTAACTCCGTTTGCAGCGTGCTAGCTCCGCTTTACCAAACTCACTTGCTCTGGTGAACATATAATTTCTATCTGAATAATTCTTAACCAATGAAGTCAAGGCTAGCTGCTCTAATTCTCCTACTGGCTCAGACTCTACAAAGTATGGCACTGGCGGCCAAACAAACGCTCCATGTCATCCAACTTGAGCCAAGTAAGGGACATAGCTGAAAAACACTTATAGTAAACATTGAAAAGGCAAAGTTACATTATCCCTTTGAAGAACCTTACAATCTATTTTGTTGGCTCCGAAAGACGCTGCATAGTGGGTAGTAAATCCGCCGTAGTAGTACTTTCATATTCACCACTGGACCTATCATCACAAGGAGAACTTATCTTCACAGCCTCAACCTTTGACTGTAGTAGCTTAATGTGAAAAATACCGAATCCAAATCCAAAGTGTGCATTGGCGCGGTTGATACCTCTAAGGAAGATCTTTACTGAGGACTGACAAAAAAAAAGCCATGGCATCCCTTTAGACGGATAACGTAAGTAAAAAACAGTGTTTGGACTTATCACTTTCATTTCCAGTGCTCCTCCAGAATGTCAGCTCGTGCAAAGAACATCACACTGCCACTCCAGGCGATGCGATAGCAAGCAAATCCAACATTACAATGTCACACTGAGCACAGTTAACAAAATAGGCTTAAAAAAAACATCACCCTGTCACACCGGGCGGCGCGAGCAAGCAAAAAGAGAACACACATCACCCTGTCACACCGGGCGGCGCGCAAAGATGCAAAGCTATGCAAAAGCAAGATCACCCTGTCACACCGGGCGGCGCGAGCAAGCAAAAACAAAACAAACATCACCCTGTCACACCGGGCGGCGCGAGCAAGCGAAAACAAAACAAACATCACCCTGTCACACCGGGCGGCGCGCAAAGATGCAAAGCTATGCAAAAGCAAGATCACCCTGTCACACCGGGCGGCGCGAGCAAGCAAAAACAAAACAAACATCACCCTGTCACACCGGGCGGCGCGAGCAAGCGAAAACAAAACAAACATCACCCTGTCACACCGGGCGGCGCGCAAAGAT